TTTTCTTAGAAGCTCAGGGGAAAACAAAAGGCTCTTTCCATGACAACTAACACGCTTGAGCTTTAAAATGTATGAAAGAATTTATTTTAATCCATTTCAGCGATTGAGTTGCTGGGAAACATTTTTCTAGAGCTCAGGGGAAAAAAAGGCTCTTTCCATGACAGCTAACACGCTTTGAGCTTTAAAAATGTATGAAAGAATTTATTTTTAATCCATTTCAGCGATTGAGTCTGCTGGGAAACATTTTCAGAGCTGGGGAAAAAAAGGCTCTTTCCATGACAGCTAACACGCTTGAGGTTTAAAAATGTATGAAAGAATTTATTTTTAATCCATTTCAGCGATTGAGTGGCTGGGAAACATTTTCTTAGAGCTCAGGGAAAAAAAAAAAGGCTCTTTCCATGACAGCTAACACTCTTGAGCTTTAAAAATGTATGAAAGAATTTATTTTTAATCCATTTCAGCGATTGAGTCTGCTGGGAAACATTTTCTTAGAGCTCAGGGGAAAAAAAAAGGCTCTTTCCATGACACCTAACACGCTTGAGCTTAAAAATGTATGAAAGAATTTATTTTTAATCCATTTCAGCGATTGAGTGGGCTGGGAAACATTTTCTTAGAGCTCAGGGAATGTGTCTCCAGGTTGAATGCACAGCACACACGGATGGGAAGTCGAAACTCGAGTGGCTTAAAAAATAAATATACGAAATTTGGGTCATCGAGTGACTAGGAAAAATTCTCAGAGTTCTGGAAATAATTCTGAGTTCAAGCATGGGACATGAGAACAGAAATGTATTACAATCATCATGTCATCATTGTTTTCGAAAGCCAAAAGAATTCCTCATGAAAGAACATCTTTTTTTCCTGGTTGTGGGATGGAGTAGAGTTGCTGCATCTTGAACAACCCACACTGATCTGAACAGAAACATGAAATGTTCTTATAGATATAAGAAATGAATTGAAAGTGAAAGTAAAAAATGAAATTGTATTGGCTGGAAATATTTCTTGGCTGTTGAATGGGAAAAATATTTCCAGAGCTGAAAAAAAAAAAAAAAAAACTCTTCCTTTTTTTCTATTAATTTGATGTCTTCACTTTGTTTACTTTGGAATGGAGAAACCCAAAGACAAAATACCTTTTTAAAAACATCATCTTATAACTAAATCATCCTTTTTAAAACATATAATTCCTAGAATGAGTCATGGTCTATTTTTAGAAACAGTGAGACAACATTCCCACACAAAAGGGGGGTAGGGTAGGGTTAATTTTTATCATGTCTAGAAGACATGATTAAAATTAACAAAAAGTTTTTTTTTTTTTTTCATCTCAGAATTTTTTTCTGAGCTCTGAAAATTTTTTCCCAGTCGGCAACCAAGTGAAAAATTTCCAATCGGCTTTTACTTTCACTTTCAACTCTTTTCTATAAAAGTATTCCACGTTTTCTGTTCAGAACCGTGCGGGCTCTCCATGGTGCAACATGCTTTTCTCTCTCTACCTCATCTGCAGCTAGGGTGTTTTCCTTCTTCAAGAAGTGGAATTCTTGGGAATACTTACAATTTCACGAGCTAGCTGTTTCTTATATTTCGAGGAGATTTCAATGAATTGTTTATAGATGTCACCTATTGCAGATGGGGAAAAAGTCTATACTGGATCGCTGGAGACATCTCATCCAGATAGGTCACGTTATATTTTTTTCCCACACCTAAACAAACTGGACATGAGCCATCCTTTGTTTTCTCATTCAACAAAGATAGACACTGCAGACCGTTTTGGGTTTTCACTCTTCGCGAACCGAGACGAGCCGCAGCGACACTTTGCGTTTTCTATGAGCGCAATAATGGATTACGTGAGCAGCCATTTTGTTTCCCATCTCACCGGAGATAGGTCATGTTGTATTTTGTTTCATGCACCTAGCCAATTTTGGACATGAGCCATCCTTTTGTTTTTTTTTCTATCGAACCAAGATGGACTTTGGAGACAATTTTGTTTCTCAACGGAAAAGTAAATTTTCTGAATGGGTACCGGTGTTCGAATACTTTTGTGACCGACTGTACTGATGATGCTGCAGCATTAACAGGTAATTATAAAGGACTAGGAGAGCAAATAATAAACATTGCTCCCCATATAATATTCATCGACTGTACGACACATAGACAAGCTCTTGTTGCAAAAGACATTGATGAAGAATTGCAGAAGATATTCCAGGGTTATTACTGCGATTAATTACATTAAAAGGGAAAATCCTACACAGTTGTCTCTTTTTAATACTATGTAATAAGTTCTGTGTATGAGACATTATTACCAGAAGTCAGATGGCTTCCACACAAAAAAAATACTGCGACATATTTTCGATTTGAGAAATACAGTTTTACATATTTTTGGAAGAAAAGAAACATAAATCAGTAAGTTCATTCATTAATAATGATTGGTTAAAAAACTCAGTTACATATTAGATATTTTCTAAAAACCTAAATATTTTAATACTGAGCACCAGTATTGAAGCTTTTAAAACTAAGTTAATAATTTTTCAAGGACAACTGAACAAAAAAAATATGTTTTTCAGAATTTACTAAAAAAATAATATAGATTTCTTGTTTAAAATAACATATAATAAAATTGACAGAAAACTTTTGGAAAAATTTCCAAATAAGGAATTAGGTTCGATCCGTGACACATTTTCCTTGGGTATTTTCTATTCCAATGTATCTCTGAATGAAAAAGAACAATTAATTGATATTTTAAGTGACAGAATACTGTGTGTTCAAGTTAAGTCTCTAACTTGCAAAAAATTTTAGTTATCTATTGCAAACGAATATGCTGATTTAAAAGGAATGAAAGTAAATTATTACTTTTCTTACTTAAAATTGTATTGTAAATCTTTAGCTTATACTTAAAAGCTTCCAAAATGCTTATGTTACATTTCTCTATTATATAAGAATTAAAAGTGGATTTCTCACTGAAATAGAAATAGTTTTGTTATTGAATTTTTTTATATGAATATTTTTTCTCTGAGCCATTTAGTTGCATCTACTACAAACTAAAGATTAAAGAACTGTTTTTGAAACATTTTGAATTCGTTGTCATATTGATCTACGAAGAACTAGATTAACGTGTTCTTATTACATTAATGACAAATATAGTTTTTAAACAAACAAGAAAGCTTTTGACAGGGTATGGCATAGAGGCCTCATTTACAAACTAATCACTCTCAATTTTCTAGATAATTTTATTCGCTTAATAGCCTCTTTTCTTAGCAACAGAACATTCAGAATCAAAATCGGTACTTCTTACTCTACCACCAGAGTAATCAATGCTGGTGGCCAACAGGGGTCGGCACTTTCGCCGTACCTTTTTAATATTTATACACAAGAAATCCCTAAAGACCTTCTGTTCATCTTGCACTCTTTGCCGATGGACACCGCCATACTCACTAAAGCCTGCACAGTTATCGCCCGTAAGAAATCAACTCCAAAGTATCTCATAAAACTGGAAAAAATGGCTTACCTTTGGAGGATTAAAATTAACACTCATAAAACTAAGGCAATAATTTTCCGCAAAGGAAACATGAAATACTATCCTCCACCCCCTGAAATATTTGACGAAGAAAGAAAAAAAGAAATAGACTGGATTAATGAAACCAAATACCTTGGAGTCACCCTTGACCAAAAAAACTTACCTTCAGAACCCATTTCCGGTTCGTAGTACAAAAATTTAAAATCACCACAGCTACTATGCGACCTCTTCTTGGTAGAAAAAGCAACTTATCTACTACAAACAAATTAATTCTATATCGCTCCATATTGCGCCCAGCTCTTCTTTATGCAGCACTGATCTGGGGACATGCAGCTAAAACCAATATTAAACAATTACAAATTAAAAAATCTATAAAATAAATTTCTACGAGAAATTATCAATGCTCCTTGGTATATTGCCAACATCTGTATTCACAGAGACCTTCGAATCGAACTTATTCAAGAGTATATTAAACGATTAGCGCTCAACTTCTTTTATTCAGTACAAACCCACAATAATAGCCTTATTAGCACTCTCAGACACTCCCCGCGTCGCAGAGAAAAACATCGTTACCCATGTCACATCCTTCCCACATAAGAATCACAACCTTAATTGACTCATTCACACTAAACTGACTCTGCGGTTTTACCACCCGCGGCTACATCTTATAACGACACTGAACTTGACACCCCCCTTTTTTCGCACCCCCCGCTAGTGCGGACCTCACTCGCTTTCATCCGCCTCCCACTCTCCTTTCACCCTTCTCTTTCTCCCCCCACCCGATCTTTATCAGAAGTCGAGTAAAAAGATGTTTCTACATCTTGACACTCGAGAATAAAATACGATCTGTGTGTGTTAAACAAACAAAACATTTTCAGCCGAGATAATTATTTGTTAAATATGAATGCTTTTTTCAAAGCGGAACTAAATAATAAATGATAAAAAGAAAATTCAGTTAGAACATTCACATCTTTAAGAAAGTAATTTGCTTTGATTTAATCCTTATAATACAATATATTTTGCAATGATAAGGCAAAATCCAATGTGAAAGGTTATGTGAAGGTTGCGACAGTAATTACAGCATTCAGCATTTCGTATAATGTAACCAGATAATAATATTAAATAAATTTTTGTAAGTGAAGTTTCCTTATTACAGAAACAGTCAAATTACGCAATTACATAAACGTATGGACTTTCAGACTACATACTTAATACTGTTTACAAGTGCAAGCAAAGTTCTGTTTTATGTTACTTCTCGTCCTTCAGAGCAAGCTCAAGAATTACTATCCAGGCGAAACTAGTCGATTTTTCGATGACGTCGAAAATTCGAAAAGTGGGGTAGGGTTTGAAAATACGCTCCCGTGTGCTGTCTAGTGGAAAGATTTCCCACTGGACTTCTGACATCGATCTTGGCCAGTGTCTAGACTAGCAACCCCTAAGCTTAATTTTTCGACTTGGAGGCAAAAAGACTCAGCAGTTTCAAAGCAAGACATCTGTCTGCTACTGAGTCTATCTGTCTGTCCATTCTGAAGATTAGTTTCCAATTTTTGGCAGTATCACGATTCTAAAGTTTCTCTAGTTTCTATGATTGAATCATGGCTAGACGGTTAGAAAATGCGTACAGGTAACACATTTTTTCTGTTTACACTTAGTTTCTTGTATTTTTAGTTAATATGTGGACTTCCTGCTACCTGTTATTAAGCATTGTTATTGAGCACTGTTTTTTTTTTATTTGAAACTATTTAATGAATTCAACTTTTCATGCATAGCTACAGCCTAATGTTGAACTTGGACATTAGAATCTTCTAGTAGAGGCTTGCAGAAATCATAGGCATGTATCGATACTATAAAAACTGAAAATATGCAGAAATTGAATATTAATGCTTGTTTCGCGACATTATTATATTCACCTGCTGAGAATGTTGGGAGGATATTTTTTAATTTTTAAAATATAGTACTTTCATGTCTCTCGTCGAGGTTAAAGCTTTTATGAATTTACTGGAAGTGTATTTCTTTTGTTTATATATAATTTATTTCAGTTTTTTTAAGGGCTCTTGAGTACATACCCTTAACATTCCTCTATACGGATTGTTCGCGTACGTACAGCGTTTATAACGTATTGATGTTTTGGCATGTTATATGAACTGTTGCTTTAAGGATAAAATTAGTTTTAGGATGCTGTATTGTTGGTTAAGTTATTGCTATTTTATGGATATTTTATTATTGCTTTTTTGTCTTAAAAGTGAGGAGGCTTTTTTAAAAAATTCTTCGAATTGAATTTGTGTCTGAATAAAACTTAAAGCTGTAATGTGAATTTTCAATTTGTTTCTTAATCCGAAGAAATTGGTTTAAAAGCAAAAATTGCAATATCTGTGTCTGCATACTTTTCTTCGTCATATATTTCTCAGTAGCAATGAATCATTATTTGGTGAATTGTGAGATTATATTAAAGGGTGGGATAAGTGCTGATTTCTTGCAAAAATTTTGAGGTAGCGTTGTGTAAACATATAAATACACAGCAGTACTTCACACAGTCTGACTGTGATCTGTGTGGTTTAAAAATTTCAAGACTAAATTTTGAGCAAAGTAAAAATAAATTCTAAAGAATAGTACATCAAATAATTTTTTAATACATTAATGATAAGTTTTTTTCATTTCGTACAGCTGCCCATTTTCGCGTGATGTTAAGTTTTGATATATGACGCATTAATAAATGCTTATTAACGTAGATGAAAAATGGAAGATAACTTGGACTAGGCTGTGTTAAAGTACCTGGATAAGAATCATGGCTGAAAACCGTAAAATAATTATTGGAATTACTGAAATCTTGTCGTAACATCATGTGGAGTTGAGGCTAATCTTTGGAATATGGTAACAGGATGTTTTTTTAAGTGAAAATAGGTCGACGTGTAAATGGATGATACCGTGTATGTGCAAGTCTTAAAAACGCGGCAAGCAGTGGGCGATTCTGCACTTTCTCCCAATTTCGCAGTAATATTTGTCATGATTAAGCACTTTTGTTCCATAAAAGTTCTAGCATAAATGTAATTTAGCTAGCAAATTGGGCTAATCTTTAGAATATGGTAACAGGTGGTTTGGCGACATTTTGGTAAGGCAATAAAGGTTACTAGCTAGGACTTTAGCAATAATCTGAGAAGTACAGTTCAAATCACAGATTATTTTTGTCTCGGAGAAATGAGAGATCACGAGACATGTAATGTGACATTTTCTGGAAAATTCGATTGTGATTTTTAGCTAATAAGCATTAGAAACAATTTCGTGCTAAAGTGCGAATATCACTTATTGTTTGGCGCTTACAAGTAAGAAGAAGAATTGGATTGTTGCAATTTTCTTGACTTTTAAGTGAAAGAGGTCGATGTGTACATAGATAAAGTCGAGTGGCGCAAGCCATTTTTGTGCAATTCTGGGATGTTTTTTTAAGCGAAAATAGGCGACGTGTACATAGATACCGTGATGGGAATTTTTAAAAACGCAGCAAGCAGTTTGCGATTCTGCACTTTTTCTCAATTTCGCACCTAATCTTTCATGGTTAAGCATTTTGTTCCAATAAAGTTCTAGTATAAGCGTAATCGGTATCAATTGTTGGAAAAAAGTTGAGTTAAAAAAAAAAAAAAATGCCTTTACTTCGTGAAAAACAAAATGGAGTCCAAAACAAAACTAGCAGGTGTGTAGCAGGGTGGTCGCCAAATTTTCACCAAAAAATCGCCAAGGTACCATAATGTAAAGATTCACCGCAAATTGTTGGAAAAAAAAAATGTTGAGTTAAAAAAAAAAAAAAAAAGGGCCTTACTTCGTGAAAACAAAATGGCGTCCAAAAACAACTAGCAGGTTGCTGTAGCAGGGTTGGTCGCAAAAAATCGCCAAGTTACCATAATCCAGAGATTAATCGGAGTTGATACCATTTAACATAACCTTGCAGTTCACCACATGATAAACTGTGGAATTAATTCTAATGTGAAATGTATGAAGAGGAAAAGTCATAGAAGAAAAATATACCGACATAAGTATTGTAGTTTTTATAGAATAAAAAGTAAATTGTTAAAAGAATATGTTTTTAAAAATTTCTAATAAAAGCATTTGAATTTATTGTGATTTTATTGAAACAGAGAAAACAATGTGGTAAAAATATATTGGTACTACAGTCAAAAGTCGTTAATTCGGACACCCATAATCCGGACCTCAAAGCTAAAAACTTTCTGCGCATGCCGCGTGGAAACATGCACATAGGCGTTTACGCATGGCGCAAGACCTTACCACTGCGCATATGGTGTGCGCGTTTATGTATAACGGACGGTTAATCTAAAATTATCTATTATCTATTCGTTAATGTTGATGATTGCGTTGTTCCTTAATCTTCAAATGGATCTGGCTTATTATTTTTGCAGACTGTAAGAGCAATTTATAAAAGTAAAACTTGAACTTTCGATTATGTCAAACAGAATTCGTTCTGGAGCTCCCAAAGGATCGTACAAAATGAAAGATGTTTCGATGTCCATCAAACAAAAAGTGAAATTGCCAAAAAAAAATGGATAAAGACATGAGAATGTGACAGAGAGGTTAGTGAAAACGAAAAAATTCGATGACAAGTTAGTTGGTATTATTCGACACAACAATAACTGGACTGAACAGCGGAACTTTGTAACTGAACAAGAAATTGTGTCTGTTTATAGAATAAAGAGAAGTATTATCACATAAAAAGAAGCAACTTAAAACAACTTACATTGAAAGAAATGTTTAATAAAGTAAACAAATAAATATTAAGCTTTTTTTATAAATTTGTACCCTTTAGATTATATGTTCTTTATTTCATAAATTAGGTTCCTATTTTAATTTAGAATTTTGATGCCATTACGAGATTTAAACTGATGATCTATAATCCGAAAAAATCGTAATCCGGAATCGCCGAAGTCCGACGAGTCGGATTAACGACTTTGACGGATTCTGTTTTGAGGACCATAGAAAATGCAGCGAAAATGTATGGGCAAAAAGCGGCCAAATCTAGCGTATGCGCTGATTTCAGATTGCGTAAGTTTATATAGTTCTATATTTCTTAAGACGCCATTGAAATACTAGTTTAATTTTTAAATCCTATTTTAATTTTAAATCCTTTTTTTTAATATCCTATGGATTTAACAATTTGGGAATTACCCATGACGAAACGCCTGCAATAGAATTTTGGGTAAAGTGCAGAATCACCCACCGCTTGGCGCGTTTTTAAGAATTGCACATACTCGGCGTATCCATGTGCACATCGTCCTGTTTTCACTTAAAAAAACATCCAGAATTGCACAAAAATGGCACTGCGCACACCTTTGGCTTTATCTATGTACTCATCGACCTATTTTCACTTAAAAAGTCAAAGATAATTGACAAAAATGCAATTGTTTTTACCCTTGTAAAAAGCGAAAACAAATGCGTGGGTGATTCTGCACTTTACCGAGAATTCTTTCAAAGAAAAGGCATCATTCATTATAGAAAATTACGTTTGAACATCCAACGGATGAAATTATGCTTTAGCGATAACTCGGTAGCGAAATAACGATGCAGGCATCCATTCAGTTATGTTTAGTAATTTTTACATAAATTATAATAATGATCTGAAATAGTTATTTACTCGTATGCTTCCATTCAGTCATATTAGCCTTTTTATATAAATTATAATAATAAAAAAGTATATGAAATTAACCTTCATCTAAATTAAAACATCAATCGGTTGATCTTGGATTATGGTAAACTTGGCGTTTTTTGGCGACCAACTCTGCTACAGCAACCTCTTATTTTTTTTTCGCCGCCATTTTGTCTTCCGAAGTAAAGACATGTTTCTTTTCTTTTATTTACTCAACGCTTTTTCCAAACAATCTACTAGCCGAATTACACTTATGCTAGAAATTTTATCTAACAAAACTGCTTAATCATGACAAATATTCAATGCAAAATTGGGAAAAAGTGCACAATAGCAAACTCCTTGCGCGTTTTTCAGAAATAACAACATAACATAAACCATGTACACGTCGACTATTTTTACTTAAAAAAACATCCCAGAATTGCAACAAAAATGGCATTGCGCAACACTCTTCACTATATCCATGTACACTGCTTTTTTCTATAAATTAGAAAAAATTTCACGGAAAATACATGACAATTTCTGAATCTTTAAACCCAGTAAAAAGAACATATATGAAATTACCTGATCGCAAAAAAAAGTATATACCTTTCCAAATATGAACATTTCCAAGTATAAAATAAATAAAATATCCAAAAACTTTTACCTCTAAATTATCTATTATATTATAAACGTCACCAACGAATTCATACCTCAAACATTACAAATACTTAGTATCAAATATTTAAATTATTTCCATGCATGTTTACCTCAACTTAAATGTATACCAAATTCCTACAAACGTAAAATTCACAAAATAACTATCATTTAATTAAAATATCACTAAACCATGTACATGTCGACTTATTTTTACTTAGAAAAACATCCCAGAATTGCACAAAAATGGCATTGCGCACACTCTTCACTATATCCATGTACACTGCTTTTTTCTCATAAATTAGAAAAATTTCACGAAGATGCATGACAATTTTCTGAAGCTT